AAGCTGAAACAGTAACACCACTGGCGTTACTTCTAAAATAGCCAGTCCACATCCCGAGTAATTAATTCTCCGCGGTCCTTCACCTAACCCCTACCCTCCAGCTACAAAACTGCATTCTAGGGTGGAAACTTTTGCAGTGGTCTGATCTTAGTTAGAAAATAAATTTTCTGAGTTTCACCTCATAATAGTCTGTTTTAACATAACCAGTAAATCTGATTCTTTGGTGAAAAACTGACTCTTCAGCTTAATTCATCTTTTCCCAAGTAACAGACAGCTCCTATCCCTGTCTGCTGATCAGCTGCTCTTTTTCTGTCCTGCCACGTTACGTATGATCTATTTACACGACTGAAAAAGAAGCTGCTGCAATAACTAATTTATGTAGTGGAGAAAGCTGACGAATGACAGCTCCTCTGTGCAAGGAAGAGGTCTGGAGAAGTAAAAGCTTTCTGCAACAGAAACAAAAAAAGAAATATTCCAACATTACCACTGCACCTCTAATTAAACTATAATCCAGACCTTAGGTAAATTCAGCGTTTTCAGAGCCATTACAGCATTAGCATTAATGGCACTGTCAATCAATGGAACTATCACATTGCAAGAAAAAACAACCTATGTTTAACCAGTTTTTGTTATCACTAGTTAAAAAGTAAACTCACGCAATTCACAATATTAATAGGGTCAGAGAAGTGATATATTTACCACTGCGGGCAGCACAGGAGGCTACTCAGTGCTGAGCAGGTGTACTTCTCTCCTTTGCATATAGACCTGCTAGAGTACCTTCTGCAGAATTGGTTTTACTGCCGTGTTTCAGCTAGAGAGGCCACAAACTTCACCTTGGAGTGGTTTTTTGTTTCTAAAACTTCGGATGAAAGTCTTAAAAATGTCTTTAGTATTACAAAGCACTGTGGACCTGGAAAGAACGGAACTGGAAGCTTTGGAAAAGCATATAGCCTCAAGAATACCAGCTAATTACTGCAGCACGGCCAACCAATTACTGAATGACTTACTTCTACCTTACTGCAAGCATATGACAAAATATCCAGAATTATTAACTGGTGCAGTACTATCTGATTCCAACATCAAACCCTACAGATGTTACAATTTCATTCCACCAAATGCACCCACACCCCCCCCCAAATTTTAGGTTAAGAGACCAACCCACCTATTAGCAAGAACAAACCAAATAAGCGTCTAAGCTGTCAAAACTCAGAGGAACCACAGAGAGTATTTCCATTAAAAAAATTCCACACCTACTCACAAGTCACCAAGTGGAATCTGACGTACTTGCTAAAACTGTGGCTTTAAACGGTAACTAGAAGTTACTGCATGTACTTTTTACTCAGAAAGTCCATACATAGCTTTAAAGGCATCTTTAACAGCATTAATTTTTAAATGGACATGGAAGTGAGCTAAAGCAGAATTTAAATAACGTCTTTAAAGCTCTCCTAACAAAGTGAGTTCTCGTCATAAAAATCACAGTATGAGTTTATGCAAGAGAGTAGCAATTTCACCTGAACAACTTTATATCAAAACCACAGCACTACAGAGACAGAACAGCCGTTACAGTCCTAAGCAAAGAAAGGAAGTCACTGAGTGATCTCACAGCACTGGAGTCATCCTCACACCAGGAGGATGCTTTCAGCAAGCTGGCAGTTAAGGTACGACACAGGAGAGCTGCATTCACTTGTAACAGCTCTACGATGCAATTAGTTTAAAGCTGAGGGAACAAACACTCACCCACATCCGCAAACCCAGCGAGTGTTCAAACACAAGCCTTTTCTAACCCTGTTTGCAGCGCCTCTGCTGCACTTTGAACCGCAGAGAATACACTGAGGCCCGCATTCTCTTCACAGACACACCTTGAAATGCTCAATACGCAACTGCAATCTTATTTTGTACTACTGGGTTTTAAACTGCCCACCCTACAGCAAACAAAGAGCATCCATACTATACTCCCACACAGTCTAAACACATCCACCACACTGTACCAAACCACTCCACGCTAGGTGACACACGTCTTGCAGCTATTGCCAACTCTCCAAGCAGCACAAGCAGCCACAAGACACAGTGCTCTCTGCAGCTGTGCTCCAGTTCTGCCCTAGTCCACCCCGGCTGAGCACACTGGAGAATCTCTAAAAGGTTTGAGAGGAAATACACAAAGAACAATGCAGAAATCGTAAAATAGAAGGTCGGGGCTCCAGTGATCAAGACAACTCTGATCCCACCATCTAAGAGTGACTTCAGTCATTTCGAATTACTGGTCTGTTTGCTACTAGCAAACACCTGCACAGCTTTCACTCTAGTTATGCAAATGTCAAAACAGCACATTTGCTCTACATCAAGAGACATTTGGGGGAGAAAAATGAGAGCACACACAACAGGAAACAAAGTGAATACTAAGTCTGGAAGACGGAAAGAAAGAAACTACAAGGACAACAGGGAAAAATAAGTTAGAAGTAGTCAAGACACAACAATTATTCAGTGCACTAAATTAGATTTTTAAAGGCATGTTTTCAAAACACTGCAGACTAACATTAGCAACAAACTTGCATGAGATCAAGAGCAAACCAGATTGGGGGTTTTTTATGTATAGACATACATATACCCAGACTGCCGTGAGTACATTTCCAGGCAGTACCAGATCCAGGTTATATTTCGTTGCTTTGTAGGCTGCTGACAATCTTCCAGAAAGCTTCTCCCATGCTTTGAATATTTGAACTCTTTAATTCTTACAAAAGAAAAAACATTTTTCTTTAACTCCTAACAAGGTGAGAAACCTCTTACATTTATTCACCTTAAATTATTATACACATTTTAAATCTAAAGGAGCGTTTATAGCAAAAAATACATTTAATTAAGTTTCAGATGAAACAAACAGCACCTGAAGTGACTGGATTCGAAAGCTCACACAACTAGGAAGTGTGATGCTGGAAGCATGGCATTTAACAGAACCCCCAGCTGAACCAAAAGGGCCATTTGCTGTGCAGGTGTCTCTTGAGCTGGTACACGAATCGTGTACACTGACCACTCTAGGCTCTTCCTTTTGTGTGACAAATCAGAGAACTCAGAAAGCCACCGTGCCCATTACCAGCACCAGCACTGCTGCTTCCCGGGCTGAGTGAAAAGCAAAGGAAGATGCAATGAGACCAGCCGGGATGTGATTCTGCTTTTACACTTAGGTTTACAAGTCTCATCCCCATTGCCTCCCTGGTGAGCTCTTTATTCCTAACTGTACAGTCAGCAATTCCCCAGAGACTCTCATCACCACGGGGAGAATCAAGCCTCTACTGGAAGCCAAGCTCCCACCTATCGATTTGTATTTTCCCCGCCCCCTTTTGTCAATTGGTTTAGCTACAAACCGACTAGGATGATTAACTCTCTGGAATTATTTCCCTTTGCTTCTTTGAAAAAACAAGGGACTGGAGGTGAGATGCTGGACTTATGATTGATACAGCTATTGTTTACTCATCAGATCTTCCTTGCACAATTAACCAGAACAAATATCACAGGTAAATTCTGAAGTGTATCATGAACCCTTTTACCGTACTTCTGGGTGTAACAGCAAATGTTCTAGAAAATAACATCAAACATATTACATGAGAGCAACAGACAAAACCATTTTCAAGATAAATGCTACTTAAAATATTTTAAGAGCAACCCACTGCACTATAAAAATTACTCTCAAAGGACACAGATATAATACCACATCTATCTTTTGAGTTTGCACATTATTACATTGAACCCAATTCCTCAAGGCCTTATATGGGTAACCACACATTTAAAAGAAGCACGTGTGCCACGTTTACACTCCCCAAACACTGTCCCAATCAAACTCTGAGAGAAAGTCTTATCTCCCAAAGAAACAACGCTGAACAAAAATCCAGAATGAAACTTATATTTCCTAATTCATTCTTTGACACTGTCAGTGAAAAATAAGATGGCATTAATAATGTTTTCTAGGCCCACCACCATAGTCTTAAGTTCAAGTTCAGTATTACAGAATATGAAACACAGAGTAGTACAATATTATATCAGAAACATGTGCCAGCGCTTCTACACCCCTCCCACTCACCCCCGCAACATCATCACCACCCACCCCACCAAGTAATTCAAATAGTTGCCAGGGCATTAACCACATTGTCCCCAGACCAATTATGTTCAGCCACTGGGTGGTTTGCACTATTTTTACTTTTTTTACTTCATCACCTACTCCAAAATCCTGAAATGAGTTAAAAGTTACAAATGTATGCTTTGTATGTTTCTGTGCATCAGACCTGATGCCAACAGACAAATACATAAGATGGATCTTTTCTGGAGCTTCACTCTACTCTTACATCACCTTAGCCCTTCCCTTATTAAAGGCAGAGGAAGGAAAGAAGCACCGAGAGCCTTATATTCAGATACAATTGCAGGTTCTACCTCCAACTATTCTTTTTAGTAAGTGCCATTCACCTTGAAGATGTCCCTTGATCTCAGCTACACCTTCTGAACAAAATGAAAGAAGAATTCACAAGTGCAGCACCATGATGTGCCTTAGATATGAAGTTTCCAATGTATGAAAGTTATGGGGGGGTTAGCAGGATGTTTCCCTCCCCATCTCTGGAAATGTTGGAGAGTTTTCTGTTTCCAGAAGAAAGTCCTGTAAAGCCTAAAGATCAATTCCAAGAAGTTTTAGTTTGGATGACTGTTTTGCCGTGTAACAAAATATTCTATTGTTCCCAAAAATTGCCAGAAACAGCGTTCTGAAACTTATCGTTCTCTCGCAAAGGACTGCACAGCAGGCTTTATTGTTTATATGAACCTAGTACACCTGAACCACACAACAGGCTCTGAACAGTTACTCTGCCCTCAGATTTCAACAGACCCAAGTATAGTCTATATGAAATCTCTTCAGTGTCTGTTCTACTGAACAGACAACATATCAACCAGCAGACATCTGTTCAAGCTCTCGTTCAACTAAAACAAACTTATAACTATTTGAAAACATTTCTCCCCATTACCTAGGCTGAGAGTTCTCTTCATACATCCGCTCTAAAAGGCTGATGGTCTGCTTCGTTTTCTTCATCAAGTTCTCCATGAACACCCGGAAATACTCATTTTCTCCTAGGGTTTCCATCTTGCCCTCATAGCGCGACAGGATGGTTCGTAGATGCTGGTAGGTATCAGGCAGCAGATCTAGGATATAGGGTGGGCTGTTCTTCAACGCCAGTTTTGGGTTCTGACACAAACGCACCACCTACAGTTAATGAAGAAAATGCCATTTTGAAAACTTGAAAATGACAAGTAGTAATCAGTTACTTAAACACAATTCAGCATTACTTACAAGCACAACACGCTGAAACATTCGCTCTCAAACCACAGTTGTTGCTCAAGTCAAGACAGGGAGCCCAGCCACTATTAAAGAATCGATTTTACGGACTGAAGTGGATTGACAAAACTCCCAACCTACGTATGACTGTATTTCATCAGGCTGCACTTCACCCCAGGTGTATTTCTAAAAACAGGAATCAAGAAAATTCAATATGGAGTTTGAACGCAGACATATCTAGTAATTCCTGCCACATTTCAGACTCTGAACATGCCTACAGGCAGAATTTTACCTGCCTAGCTGCCCTCATTTTGGCTGCAAAAGTGACCTTTCACACCAACTGATACATTCAGCACAAATATAGAAGAAAGGAGTTCCACTGCTACAGGTATCACTGATGTCAACAGTGTTTCCAGGCTGAAAGTCTTTTAAAGGCAACAGTGTTACAAAAACTTCGTTTTCTTCCTCCTTGAACACACACAAGGACTAAGAGGAACAATAGCTTTTATGGATAATGACAACCATCAAGAAAGAATGAATGCAAAGGAATTTTTCTGTGCAAGAAAGAGAAATAAGCTGTAACATAATAGATACGGTAAGAGAAGTCTGGGTAAAAGTTTGGCTCACAAGAACCTGTGTCCCCAGCTATCAGTCAACTTTGCTTCCGATTTCTCTTACGTGAATCTCACAGCAAAACTAGATTCTTTACAGTAACTTCCGTTTGTTCTTTTTAAAATTATTTTTATAGTAACGACACTAGAAATTAAAGAACTACTGGATTACCTGAGCCTCTCTTCCACTTGGCATACAACTAAACATTTTCCTTTCTTTCACATCACATGTTCTCCATTTATATTTTTAGGAGTGAGATCCCATGTTCTCAAAGTTAAGAGCTTGATTATATCAACCTAGATTTTTGCCATCTACAATGAAATTGAATAATTTTAGGCACCTACTTCTGTATTATGTAGTTAAGGCACAAGTAACAAGCAGAATATTCCTGCTCAGAACTCACAAGCCACACGACTGTTAGACCCGTACACAAACAAATCAGGATGCAAGCTGAACTTAATGTGGGTCTCTAGCATATAGGAGCCTAGAGCCTACGTGCCAAAAGCTCAGGATAGTAAGTTTACGTGATAGAGGAGGATAAAGGAAGTCACTTCACCATCCACCATAGCCAATTTTTTCCATTATGTAGACTGAAAGAATGATGGGGAGAGATAATGGCAAAGCAGCAATTTGGAAGATCAGCAGCGTGGTTTCAGTCATAAAAAGGGCTGGAACTCCAGAGCTGCGAGGCCAGTTTCGGATGAAGTTTACAAGTTGAGAATCAGCAGCTGCTATAGTCCTACAGCTGGCTGACAGCTTATCTTCTGCAATTTACACCAAACTTGAGAGGAGGGTTGGTACAAAATGTAGATACACCTTCCTAGAGTTCTTCACTGCAACGTATGTTACCCGACTGTGTAATACAAAACACATCAACAAAGATTAAACTAACAACACCGCCAGGTACAAGGGTATTACAGGTATCACACAACGTAGCACTGCTGAACGCAGAGCTTAAGGGAAGTGGATGGGAAAAGTTAAAAGAACGATCTAACATCCTCTTGCAGTTCAGCATTTCCAGAAAATCAAGAGGAATTGACAAGTTCCCTACAACGCATAATTAAATACCCACTTCCCTTAAACACTTAAACGCCGATAGCAAACATAGTAACTTAGTCTGAAACAGCTTTAGCATTTAACTTTGCCATTCAGGACACACGCAAAAAGCAACCTTGTCCAGTTAAGTGACATCTCCAATTACATTTGACTTACAGTAGTGCCTCTAATTAGAGCTGATTGAGAAAGCCTCAGTTTCAGTGAAGAGAAAGGCACCCAGTGTATCAAAAATCAAACAGAAAAACGTTACCAGCATTAAAAGAATTACATGCCTAAAAAAGCCTCTGCAAGAACACACAGAAGAAAGAAACCTACCAAAATTTCCCCTCCATTTTGAAGAGGCTGGCAAGGACTGGGAGGCCTAGATAAGGAGATGGATGGTCAGACAAGTGACTTATCCAATTGACTCTGACGCCTCAACTGCCGCTTCCCAGGAGCCCGTGAACATTGTACAACGAGCCTCATCAATGAATGAAGTTAATTTCACTATGTAGCACGAATAGGTTGCAAATTTGCTCTTCAGGCACAGCTGAATTGTGCTATGGACTGCAAAATCTTTTCTTCAACAGAAACTGTTTATCACACAGTGGGTTTAAAACCTTAATAAGAACACAGTCAGCTCTTACGAGGAAGCCACACCAAGCAAGGATAGAAGTCAGAGTGCACACTTCTCTTGTTCATCTGTAGTAAAAAATGGTTCAGTTGTCACCTCCTCAAAACACTCAGCTATAGAAGAATCAGACCCACCATGTTTTGGTAATACAAACTTCAAATGGGGAATATTTTCCCACTGCAGAAGCAAGTTGTGCAAATCACTCACTTTCATAGCCTGACTTGGAAAGATACCTCAAATAGTTAACAGAAAGGCCAAAGCTGCTGTGATTTTATTATCAAATAAGCTTCCTTATTTACCGAGCTAAGACAAGCATTTAAACAAAGGAACTGCTGCCTCTTGAGCAGGCTTGGTCATTTTACAATGCAGCAGCAAAAAACGCAGTTGCATTCTGCTTTTCTCTTCGTGCGCACTTGCAGCATCACGACAGCGTCCAAAGCAACGTTCCCACTGCTGGAAACAGCTGCCCCTCAGCGAGCCACGCTGCCTCCCACAGGGACCAGCAAAGAGGAAGGAAATTTAGCAAAAAGCAGCTTACAGTTAGGTGTGCTGGCAACAAACACAAGCAATCCAAGTTTTTAAACTACCAAACTCCTTCAAGTTTGCCTGGCTTGTGCATTGTTCCCTCAGGGATAAACCTTTTACGGGAGACATTTCTGAGATTTTAGAAATACTAATAAAGCACTTCAAGCTTAGCACAAAGATTCTGTTTTACAAATACCATCCACAGCAATTAACTCAAGTGGTTTGCATTACCTGCTGCGCAGACCACATTGGCAAGAACTGATTCATAATCTCATCGTTTGTGTAAAAAATACAAATTGTTTTCACTAGCCAATGTTATATGCTTTCTTATATTAAGCACTGCTCCATTTGCTGAAGACAGTGATAAGTTAGGAGGCATGCTAAAAACAAATTAACAGCAGTTCCTCCCAGCTGACCCAATCTATACACTTGATTAGGATCAAGACACCACGAGGAAATTCTATGTTGCTTACTGTGCTCTTTGTCACTGCAAACTTGCAGGCTAGCAAGGCGTTTGACATCCCATTCAGCTTCCAAAGACACATTTAACCTCTATTCCATGGATAAACACATAAACATCATCTAAATCAGCTGAAGAGACACAGTGATGAAAAGGGCCGGTTTATGTTCACACTATGTGTGACCACAGGCAACTGTTGGAAGAACAGTTAGCGCCAACAAAAATCAGAACTTCAAGTAAAAGAATGTCAAAGACTGGAATATATCAGGCAGCTTATGGAGAACACTGTGGGGAAAATATTTGGGCAAGAATCAACCTGCATAGGAAATTCATCAGTCACAGAGATGCACGAATTCTTTGACAACATCAGCTGATTATGCAGACTAACAAATCAGATTGGGAATGTACTGCACACACGTAGATACGGTCTATGTTTCTGAAAGACAAACACATCATTTATTAAACACGCACACAAGTGTGGGGTTTTTTTTAATCTGAACACGTAATTTCATTTACTTGGCCTAGAAAACTAAATCATTTTCAACACCTTCTATTCCTTTAGCCATTCTTACCCCTGGTTTCACAAGCACTGTGTTTGCCTGGCAACATGCCACACAACTAAGAAGATTTTTAATTCAGATGTGCTCTCATAAGTGTGTGTAAATAACTCTAAAGACTAACTGAAATCTAAAAGGCTTTTTACAGCCAAATCTTTCCTCATGTAAAAAATCAGGCTGAAGAACTAATTCTTCAAGACTTCTAAAACTGAGCCTACACCTAAGGAGTTTTCGGATGCTGCCTACAAGCAAAACTGTGAAAACAGTGCACGTTGAAAAGAGGTTACTTTAACTCGTATCAACTACAACAAATAGCAGTCTGGGCTCTTCTGTTGGTGATATCACGGAAGAGAGGGCACACAACCAAAGACTGGCTATGCAGATCTGAAGCTGTGAAAGCATCCCCTCCAAACCCCCATGCCACTACAATTCCAAATGCCAAGGTAATCAACGCTTTCCTTGAGGTCAGCCTTCTCCTTTGAGCAGACCAGGTTACGAGGTCAAAACCAGGTTGATACTCACATCTACATCACACGCACAAGAACGAAGATGTGCATTCTTACAAGTTGTACCTGCAAGTTCAACTTATTTCTAAGAGGATCATGTTTCCACGCTCAAACCACCTTTCCCACACTAGCACTTGCCCTCACTGTTTGTAAGGGAGCCACTGGCACTTCTCAAAAGACTTTCTTCTTTATCCCATCTCACTCTGCAGAAGGTGATCAAAGCTCATCACAAGCACAGCAAGGCACAACTCTAAACCATGTCTTTTGTCGAGCCAAGCCAACACAAAGTGATTTCTTGGCTTGAGCATAATTTAATGTCTTTTCAAAGGTCATCTACTCTGCCTGCTTTAGCATTTACTGCAAGAGATTAAGACACTGTATGCATAAACAATGCGTGGAAGAGAGAAAGAAAAGTAGAAATGCATGAGCCTGCAGGGCAGTGGGATTAGCTATGCCCATCAGCCCTGCTTGCTCTGCTCCTAGAGGGGAAGAAGGTGGCAAGATGACGCTCCCCAGGGACTGCAGGCAACTCTGGTGATGCTCTTACTCTGCACTACTTTTAGGGCCCTGAATCAAACATTATAAAAGCCACTGTGCAG